GAAGAGACTTCTGCAGTGAATCTTTCTTACACAAGTAAGCACAGCCTGGCTTTCCAGTAACTAGAGAGACCCTCACGAGGAAGGAAATGAGCTGCTGAGGCAAGCTGGCGCAGACAGCTGATGCAGGCCCGCAGGAAGAGGTCCAAGTAGCACTGACAGGCATTGGAAAGATGCGGCCCTACCAAAGGAATTCACCACCACTGGTATTTAGGAAAGCGGTGTCTTTCCTAGCCTCACACTACCTGCTTTCTAATGGGTATCTGGGGAGATTTCATCACTCCTGCCTCTGAATTTGACCCTTAATAAAATGGACACACACACCTAGGAGGCTTGGGACAGGTGCTGAGCATGGCCAAGCAGCCTTTGGCAGAGATAGGGGTGGGCTTTTGTTTTGGGGTTTGGTTTGGTTTGGTTTGGTTTGGTTTGGTTTGGTTTGGTTTGGTTTGGTTTGGTTTGGTTTGGTTTGGTTTTGAAGCGAGGTCTTGCTGGATAGGACAGGCTACCCTTGAACTCTTGATCCTCCTGCCTCAGCCTGCCCACTGCTGAGCTCTTCAAAGTGGTCTTTGGACACAAGTTACCATCTTGCCGTCTCACTCATTCATCAGTTCATAAATCTTTGACGTGAATGAAGAGCCACATGTTTGTTCGTTTGTTTTTTAAGTTTTATTTATCTATTATTTATACAGCGTTCTGCCTGCATGCCGGCCTGCACACCAGAAGAGGTCACTAGATCTCACCATAGATGGTTGTGAGCTAGCGTGTGGTTGCTGGGAATAGAACTCAGAACCTTTGGAGGAGCAGCCCATGCCCTTAACCTCTGAGCCACCTCTCCAGCCTGAGAACCGCATGTTTAACCCTCTTAAAATTCTGCTTCTTGCTGGATCTGAAAATTAGGGCTTCTTCCTCCAAAAATGGCACTGCAATGGTGCTACACACAGTCAGGCCTCATCCTGCCGCTGAGACAGTACACTGGACCTAAGTGAGATGGGTATTTGGCGGTGCAGCAGGAACTGGAGGGCATGGATGCTTCCCTCTAACTGACCTGACACTTCCACTGTTAGAATCTATGCAGCTCACCTTGCTTGTTACACTGACCTCAGAAGGCTACTTTGAGGCTCTGAGACAGCTGCTACCCAACAAGGAAGGGGCTTTGACCCCAGTTCCTTGTCCCTTTGGTGGCCAGACAGTTCATGTGCTTTTGCAAATGACACAACTTTGAGATGCTTAAATGCTGAAAGAGGGAGACGTAACTCCCGCCTGAGCTGTTTTCTCTCTGGGTAAAGTTAATGATCCTCAAGAGAGAAAACGTTTATCCTGGCTTACACACCTCAAGAACCTGACTACTCCAATTCACCCCAGAACCAAAACAAGGAAGCAAAGAGTCTTCATTTTACCTACTTAGCAGGTCATGGACAACTTTTCACACTTTCTTGAGGGAACCATCAAAGCTATTAACAGATCCTTTGACCTACTCTCTTTAAAACCCCTCTAAATTCAGAAAACAACTCTAAAAGCTCCCAGAATTAGAAGGCGAGCTGGGAAGATAGTCTGGGCGTGGCCTTCCCGGCAGATTTGCAGTCAGTGTTTAGCCAGGGAAGAGCTAGTTCCAGCTTTGCACAGTCCCAAGGACCCTCGTCTCCCTGATTAAACCCGGTGCTGAGTCTCTGTCCTGAGTACTGAGGATCTACTTCATGTAGAACCTGTGCTGGGCCTGGGACTCTGTCCTCAGTGGGAAGGTAAGATGGATCTTAAACAGCTATCATTTATGGTAGAAAGTAGCTAAGAGCCCACAGTTAAGATCCCATTGTGTGACAGCTCATGCACACTGGGTAGTGAGTAGAAGGACAGATGGACTGACCCCTGTCCTCAGAACGGACTCCATGTGCCCTGGTTGGGTATATCCACCCAGCACGTGCTGGGAACGAGTATGTAAGTCAGATAGCTTCTCACCGCATGCCCCTCTCACACATACTCTGTGATTCCATTCTTAAAATGTTCTTATTCCATTTATTTAGGGCAGGGGAAGAGCATTCCACGGCGTATACATGAGGGTCGGAAGATGACCTGTGGTAGTCAGTTCTCTCCTCTACCGTGTGGACCCCCATTTTGAACAGAAAAGGAAGACGGGACGTAGGGGTGTTAGAGGATGTCCCCAAGGTCGTGCTAATGATGAAAAGCAATGGTAGGATTCAAAGGCAGAGAGGTCTGGGGTGAACAGTCCTGCTGTGACCTCATTTCATGGCTGATTAGCACTCGGTGGCAGCACCTTCCTTCTATGAAGTTGTGACTGATTCCTTGCCAAGCTGTGGAGCCTCATGGGAGACAGGCTGGCAAGCAATAAGGCATCCATTGCTGGTCCAGGACTCACAAAGCCGTGTCTTGTTCAACTGATACTGACATCTGTCTCTGCCATCCCTTGATGTTCTCCAGCAGAAACAGGAAAGAGGGAATAAAGTGACTCTCAAAGAGAAGGATCCAAGCTCTAAGCCCTGCTTTTAGCATCCATCCAGCAGGGCTGGCAGAACGACACTGAAAATCTATCACGTTTCCACGCCAACAATGGTATCCTCCCCTATCCTGTACCACCGTTCTGCCTTAACCGGAGGAAATTCTCTTCATTCCTTTTCTTTCCATTTCCTTAGCCAAAGGACTTTAAGAGCTTGACAAAGCCTACAGAATAGAGGCCAGTAAGGGAGTTACAACAGCCTGAGAAACTCAGGGCCATCGTTGCAGACTGGACTTAGACATCTCCACCTGAAAGCCTTCTCCCACCAAATGCTAGCGTGTAAATGCATGCACACTCAGCCATGTTCCCGGTCCTCTGCATTATCCTAGCACAGTGCATCCTACACCACACATGGTGATGCTTTTTACTGGCTCTGAATCTTCTCGTTCTGTTTCCAATGCTGAGCTCGGTCCAGGAAGCCCACAGGCCGCTGGAGAAGAGAAAGACAAGCGTGGGGAAGAGGAAAGTGTACAGACACTCCGCTCCTGGTTTAACCTTCCTTGCACACACTTATCTCCGGCCTGGTGAAACCCCTGGAGTCCCAGCAGCCAAGGAGAAAAGGATGGGGCCTGAAGGAAAAGGGGCTGGAGGGAATGGCTGTGCTCTAAGAAAAGGAGGGCTCGTGTGAGAGCTGGGCTTTACTGACCAAGGTCACAGCCATTGTTTAGGAACATCAGTGTGGCCCCTGGAATGGCTCAGCTTCTAGTGTTTGCCTCCTATTGGCCGCGGGCCTGTGGGTGACGGAGCAGTGCTCAGGATCTCATGAACAGCCACCCTGACCTCCATGTACCCAGCTGGAGGCAGGAAATTCCATGTTGTAATAACTGGATTTCTTCCATTCATTCTTGATCCATGACTAGGTAACCGATTGGTCATTAAAGGAACCATTTAGGCCAATTTCAGAAAGAGCAGCTCAGGCCCTTCTGCCAGTGTGCACAAAGAAAGAAAGAAAACAGGACAGAGAGCCCTGGGTACCTCTGGTTCCTTTGCTAGCATGACTTACGGCAGAAGCAAAACGTTTAAAGGCCCCACCCCTGTCAGTGAGCATTGCGGCGAGGATTTCATAGAGCTGAGTTTGGTGTTTGAAAACACACAGAAGCGCAGCCGGCTGCAGTCGGTTTATCAAACTGGACACATGTGGATCCGAGAGTAGAAAAACAGTCCCAGTGCCTGAGGAGGCTGCTCATTGAAAACAAGTGCTTTTCAAGGAACGGCATTAAGAAATGTTTTCACATACCTGAAGCCCGTCAACAGGGACCAAGTCAGGAACTCTGAGCAGCCGGCTAGGAACTGTGGCTGACACACTAGCCAACCAGCCAGCCTTCAGTGCCTGTACAGCTGGTGGCAGGGGGAGGCAGCCCACTTGTACTTTCTCATTGTATATTTTCTAATCAATTTGGGGGTGGGGGTTCTGGCGAATTTGATTTTCTATTTCCCAGAAGAGCTTTGGGGTTCCTGGAAATGTAACCTTGCTCTCCCCGCTCACCAAGAGAACCATATCCCTCCTGCATGCAATCTGGTCGCTCTCTGCTGAGCAGCAGCTTGAGACTTTATGCCATCGAGACATGTGCGGAGCGGCTAGTGTTCCCACATCACTCCTCACTTTAGGTACAATTGCTTGGCGTGGCACCAGGCCTGCTGGGTACATCTAACCCTGCAGGTACATGATGCCACATACCGAAAACCACGTGCCCAGACAGCACCTGGGTTTTGTTAGTATCTCAAAGTCAGATAGAAACAGAGGGGCGTGTGTGTGTGTGTGTGTGTGTGTGTGTGTGTGTGTGTGTGGTGTATGTGTGGGTGCATGTACATGCATGAGTCTTCAGGTGCCCGTGTGTGCAGCAGAGGCCAGAGCTAACTGTCTTGTGTCTTCCTTGATGGCTCTCTCCGGTTTATCTTTTGAGACAGGGTCTCTTGCTGAAGCTGGTACTCACCAATTGGCTTGACTGGCTGTCCAGTGAGCTCCAGAGATCTGCCTGTCTCTGCTCCTTCTCTGTACCCACGCAGGTTGCTCACAATGATGCCTAGCCTTTTCACATGAGTTCTGCGGACCCAAAGTCTTCCTGTTTGCACAGTAGGCACTCTACCAGCTAAACATCTCCTCAGCCCCAAGAACACAGAGGTTTCTAATGCTTCTGCATCCTGAAAGGCAGCTCAGAGCAAAGAGAGTGACAGCCTAGCCAGAAAGGAGCCTAGCATCCTTTATGTTCAGGGGGGCCATATCGCAGAGCCCAGTAAAGGTCACCAAACAGTCTATAGCGTACTCGAGTAACGTCAAAAATATCCATCTCCATTGAGAGATTTGGAGGTGGCTCAGACCATCTGCTGCTGCTGCGCCCAGGGTTCTCTTTCATTTGGAAACTCTGCTGTCAACTTGGTTTAGGATATGCACCAGCGAGACATATGCTTATCCTTCCTGCCCAGAGAGATGCTGGCATGAGACATTCTGCTGATGGAGGCCCACGCTTATGAATTCTCTCCTCTTCTCCCCTAGTAACCGTGACGGTGGGGGGCAAGCAGCACTTGCTCGGACTGTACGACACCGCGGGACAGGTATGTGCTCACCGTCCTTTGACTCATGAAGGGTTGAGGGAAGGGGTGTAGGAGAAGGAATGGTTCATTTGGTTCATCATTCAGAAGACACCCATAGACGTTTCCCATTCTGATCATCTGGGGCTCATATATTTTCTACCCAAATGGCAACCAAATATGCATTCTTAACTTTAAATATATATATGATTATATATATAGTTTTACATATACTCATATATATATATATAATTGTCCAAGATATGATGTGTCAAATACTGACAAGGCATCAATACTCAAAATAACATTTCTATTCAAGAGTTTCAATTACCTCCAGCCCAAACCTATTCCACGTCCAAGATCTACACATCTATTTCATAAATTGCAGCTTTGCCCATTCTCCCCCACACACGCTATTTTCTTTGCCTATCTTTTATTTGATTTACCTAATGAACCGTGAAAAGGTTCAAAAGGAGATGGGCTGGGTAAGATGGATTAAGCACTGGAAGGGAGCAAGGCTTTGGATACAGTCCAATGATGGAGGTCAACCCCAAACTACTGGGAACCTGAGAACTGACTCTAAATTTTCTAAGATTCCCCAAATATTCTTATTCGGTGACAAGTGTTTTCTTTTGGGTTTGAGAATGGAAGGGCATGGACTTGAGTCTGCAGTGAATCTGCACATGGCTGTCCTTGGGTAAAAACACCTGGTAACTGCCTTTTCTTGCACCTCACACAGAGCTGTGGAAAACACCCAGTGTTAGAAGTTCGCCTGGGAGGAGGAAGGGAGATGGATGAGCCATGGATGGCTGTGGCCTAATTTCTTGGATAGAGCGTGTTACCATATGTCTTGAATCATTTATTTAGGTCAAAATCAGCGGGTTGTTCAGTCAGTCCAAATTTATACAGCTTAAGTCCTTTGGAGTGAGTATTTGACCGTGGTATTTCCCACTGTGAGTTTCTTAGTAATTGTTAATAGCTATGCATTTGTAGAGGCCTTTTCTCACAATTATCTGGAGATATGTCATTTTGCTCAACTTGAAAGCTCTCTCCTAGAAAATAAATAAATGGGATCTCTTCAAGGTTTTCAGCGCACATTTGCAAAGACCACGGACAAGTGTCTGTGGGACATCAAAGCTAGTGTTTTACAGCCAGGTCAGGGAGCCTGGATCCTCTAGCACCAGACCCAAGGCTCTTTCCCAGGACCCTCCAGGTTCTGCTCATGGGCAGATGGCTGTTTGGGAAAAATCACTGTCAGAACTAGGGTGACCTCTCCGATCAATGTCAAGAAACAGAAACATAACTAGGGGGGAAAATGTCCCCATAGCTACTCAAAGGGAAAAAATCAAGTTGGGTCCTCTGATACAAGAGAGTATAGTAGCTACAAGAGAACATCTCAGCAATGAGGCCCGTGGATTCGGGCACAGCATGCCGTCTCGGTTCCTCACAGCCTCACGGTGCGTTCAGTCCATATAGTCCAGCTTGCAAAGCTCGATACAGCAAGGACTCTCTCATGCTCTGAAAGTCCTCTGCCCCCCCCCACCTTCCGGAAGCCCATGCCCGCTCAGCTTTCACACTTCAGTAATGGTTCCTATGTATCAGTTGCCCCAAGAACAATATCCCTTGATCTCTATTTCATTTTACACCCAATAAAACCGTTTAAACACTCTTGTAGAGTTGAGTTATTATTTCCCATTACTCTGTCTTTTAAATAAAAAAAAAAATACAAGTCTAAGAATGGAAGTGATAATATAGCGTGAAAATATCTTTAAATGTCAAATGGAAGCAAGTAGGGCGACCCCCAAGCTCTGACACAGGGGTGAGAAATGCTGTAAACTATAACAACAAATAAATTCAAGCTTTTTCTGTAACTTAATCTTCACCTTAATTCTTTCCTCCACTTATTTTAAAGTCTCCGGGCAGACACATTCACAGGGGAGCATGAAGCACGGGGAAAGGAAATAAGAGCATATGTGAAGTCTCCTTTTTGGGCCTCAGGTTCCATGATTAAGGACTTTAAAAGATAATTTCAAGACATCTTGAAGGAACCGAAGTAATTAACCAAAAATGTTTGAGTCGAGACCCAAGGGAGGCATTTCGGCAGGGGAAGAGCTTAAAATACGGGGACACCCATTTACAGTAAAGAATAAACTGTCATTCTAGAACAATGATTCTCAAACTTGACCCTGGGCCAGAACCACCCAGAACTTGTTAAAACAAACAGCGACAGGGCTCCACCCCACCGTTTCCAATTCCAAGTCCAGGAGGAGTCCCAAGAATTTGCAATCATGCTAGGTTTCCATTGCTGCTGCCCTGGACAGCACACTTTGAAGGCCAACGACTGTGCTGATGGCTGACCAGCAGTGTCGCTCATATAATGGAGCATCTTAGAAATGCAGACACTACCTGGGAGATGGAGGCAGCAGGAGCCAAAGTTAAGGTCACCCTCAGCTACATAGGAAGTGCAAGGCCATCCTGGGCTGAATGAGACTTTGTCTCAGAAACACAACAGAAAGAAACACAGGCACCTCACGCTCCAGCCCCAAATCAATGAATTTACGCCTTTGATGGATGAAACATGTTCCCAACACAATAACTACATCTAAAAATTAGCCAAAACAGCTTCACAACAGATTTAGTTTAGAAGATGTCTTAGTCCAGGTTTTCTAGGGGAACAAAACTGATAAAATGAAATATATATATATATATATATATATATATATATATATATATATATATATATATATATTCATTAATAAAATGTCTTCTAGGCAGTAGTCCAACTAGTCCAACAATGGCTGTCTACTAACAAAAGGCCCACAAACCCAGTTGTTCAGTCCCATGAGGCCGAATGTCTCAGCTGGTCTTCAGTATTTGCCAGAATCCCAGAGAGGTAGGCTCTAATGCCAGTGAAGGAATGAACTTGCTACTGAGAGCAAAGAGCTTCCTCCTTCCATGTTCTTATATAGGCTGCCAGCAAATGTGTGGCCCAGACTAAAGGCCGGTCTTCCCACTTCAAATGACGTATTAAGAAAAATGCCTTACAGGTATGCCCACCCACTTGGGTTTTAGTTAATTACAGATTGTGGTCAAGTTGAAAACCAAGAATAACCATCACAGAAGGCTTGTCCCAAAAGTTCCAGTCCCCACCCTAAGTGGCATAGTCTACCCTTCAATGATACTCTAGAATGTTCCTGTAGTCACAAGGTTGAAGAATACCTACGACTAATTAAAAATCACTCGTTGAGTCTATTACTAAATAAGGAAAGAGAAATGACTTCAAAACAGATTGATAATTCTGGAACCACAAATTCACAAAGGAAATACATCTCTAACTCCAGCTATCAAGTTCTAGCCTACTTTAGTAATTACATTTTCTTACATGAATAACCCAAAGAGGTGTGCCCTCGCCTTTGCTCTGAGCTAACTGTGCATTGGGCAGTGGAGAAGGAGGGTTTAGAGGTGGAAGGCAACTCAAGAAGCAAATGTATTCTGAAAGATCAGGTGAGAGGAACTTGTTATCCCCACCCTCAAAGACAACCCTGAGCAAAACTTTTTTAACAGGCATCCAACATGGCGGCTGCAAAGTTAGGCTCAAGACTCTCCTTGCCATTTCACAGCTCAGCCAAGCTTTTGCTAACTAAGGGATTCTCAGGGAGTCATGGATATGTTACCAGCACATGGACACTGGCTTTCTCCCCAGACTCCTGAGACAAACTATCATTTGGGCTTTAAAGAAAGAAAACAAAATTTCAGAATTCGGTTGGATGGAATTTCAAACACTAGGGCTGGGAGGGGATGGCACACATTTAGTCCCAGCACTGGGGAGTCATAGGCAAGCAGATCTCTGTGATTTCAAGGCCAGCCTGGTCTACAAAGCAAGTTCCAGGACAGCCAGGGCTACACAGAGAAACCCTGTCTCAAAGAAAAAAAAAATCAAACATTAGGTCAGTAAGGGATTTACCCTTCAGATCACCCAGCAAACAACATGCCAGTTCTCAGGACTAATCAATAATCTATTCACACCAGATCAATTCCTCTGAATGGCACAAACTCCTTGCCAGGTGGTCACAGTGTCTCTGAGAGTGGCCCTTTGCTCAGATATCTGGCTCAGCTACAGGAAGAGACTCAGAACTCTAAAATGTGCTCCAGGTCCCACTGGCTTGTTTACCATGTGCCATGAGAGAGAACACGGAAAGCATGACGCCAGAGTGGTGAGGATTTAGCCTAGCTTGAGCACTCATGGCTTGGGGAACGGCAGCGTGACGGGGGGGGGGGGGGGGGGGGGGGCTTCAGGCCAGTGCTCAGAGCCAGGATTCCTTTGAGTCTACAGTGGATCAGCCATGGTGGTTGAGGCATCTCACCCTCCTCTCAGCAGACCCTCACCCAAACAAATGATAGTGAGTGAAGCCAGCTCTCGGGCCACACTCTGGATGGGTGTATCTCAGAGGCAGCGAGTACTAACAGAAATGGCAATGAGCATCACTGCCAGAGGGAATGAGTTTCCCCCTGGTGCCAGGAGCCAGGAGCAGCCTTCTCTGCTATTTTCCTAAGCAGACACCAGGTTCTCGTCAGAGAAGTGAGCCTGAATTCCGTGCTCATGAGCCCCTCAAGACTTGAGGCTGGCCTGCACATCGTGTTAACAATAGGATGGTATCTCTCACTGCCAGAGCACAGCCCCACAGCAGCTCAGCTGTCACTGTGGGAGCAGGAAGACCTCATTGTCTTCACCAGGCCACACATCTTCACCAGGACCTGATATGTGGAGCTCCTGTGTCCTCCACCCCCAACCTCCCCCCACCCCCAGGCCTTCTTCTTCAGAAGCATGTGATCGAGCAGGAGGTACATACAGCTGAGGCTCATTAAAGGCAACCCCAGGTCCACTTGGAAGCACATACAACTTCCTCTTTTGCTATTGGCTGAGCCAAAGGGCCATCTGGAGCTCAGGGTCTGGCATCAGCACTCCAAACTTAGGAAAGTTTGCCTAAAACCTCACAATACATGTTTTTCTCTCAATAAGCAACTTGACTTTTCTTATCCCATGTATTTCAGCGTGGTTTCTACGAGTGTACTGTTTGGAGAATGCTGCTCACTTGATGGGCTGTTGGTAAAAAAGTAACTAGGGACCCATTCTTATCTTTCCCCAGGTTGGGAAAAGTAGAGGTGAAGGACATTGCCTAAAAGATGCAGTCACAGTTTACGAACATTTGGATCTCATTACTACTTAGTCCAAAAAAGTGAATTTCAGAGTCATCCCTGGTATCCAACAAGGGTAGAGGCTGGGGTTCCAGGAACTGCAGCTGTCGTTGACTTTAGATGAAGGATGGCCTTTGACTCCGTCATTAAAGTGCTTGCTCTTCTTTCAAAGCACCATTACAAGAAGTCACACATATTAAAGCATTGTAGTCTCACAGCGATACGGGCATTTTACAGTTTACTGACAAAGAGACCGAGGCAAAGAGAACTCACCGCAAACTACACGAGAGTAGTAGTGACAGGAGTGGCAGGGATTTGAATCCAGAGATTTCACCTCCACCCCTGTCTCTCTTGGGCAACATCCTGAGCTCCCACCCTGTCCTGCTTTCCGAGTCAAATGACTTACGGGAGAATATGAAAAACGGGGCTGGTGCCCACAGCACTGGAAAAAATGTCAGGAAGCTCAAAAAAAAAAAAAAAGGAAGCAGAATTCTACTCCCGGCTCTTGAGTGTCTGAGGCAGAGGACAGGACTCAGGGCTCTTCCTTACAGTGCAGAGAGCAACCCCTGGGCACTCATCAGCCTTCTAGACTTCACTCCAGACCTGGTGCTGAGTGCAAATCCACAGTGCAATGAGGTGATCCAAACACAAGGAAAGTTAAGGGCTCCGTGGCCCCACCACTGTCCCTTCATAATGAAGCTGCTCGTGAACATACTTAAGGCCAGTCTGTGCTGAGCGTTCCTCAGATCTTTACAAATAATCGCCCCCAGTGCCTGCACCTGACAGCACCAGCTCCACCTCTGTGCCGAGCCCTTGCTTGCCTTCCCCCCTCGCTCGCCTTCGGGGTGCAATGGGTAGCAACTACTCAAAAACCTACATGGTCCCAAATCCCAAATCCCTACCTACCCAACCCAAGCGCAAGTCCCCTCGTGTCCATCTTAGCCCTCCAAAGAACTGTCTGGTGGCTTTTGTAAGTTAACACATCATCTCTTCAAGAAGCACCCAAGCACCTATAACCCAGATCGTCTTCAGCTTTAGAAGGGGCCTCAATGCAAGAAGAACCATTCAGCCCTAACTCATAGCTGATCGGCAAGTGTGCTTCACCGCAAAGCTCATTCGAGCCATCAGTGGGTATGAATTCAAATGCCCAAGAACCCCAGAAGGGGTTCTTTCATACTTCCTAGCCACAGCCACAACTGAGGGTAGTAAGCTCCTGGTATTCATTGAAAGTTTTTTTTTTTTTTTCTCTATAGTCGTGTTGAAATCTATCGGATGTCCGATTGGGAGGTTGTAAGGCTGACAGCAGGGAGAAGGAAAAATAATAGTACCTGGGGCTCCAGAAACTTGAGCTGCTTCAGAACTCTGTCAAGCCGGGCTTTAGATACCTGGTTGGCTAATGGAGATCAAAAGAGAAGCCCATTGCTGGTGAGAGACCATCTTTTGGAAGTTGCTATACTACCCTGGGTCTAGAGGATCTTCCGGACTTGACATTGGGATTTTCCAGTTCTGTCAGATAAATACTGTACCAGAGGAACCAAAAGAGGCAGGAAACGTGTCTCGGTGCACATACATGGAACTGTTTTGTGTATTTTTCGGTCTCTTTCCCCAACTTGCATCCCAGTTCTTCACCACCTTATACAGTTCATGCAGCATTCTTGTCAGAGCCACAAGTCCAGTGAGGAATCAATCCTTTTAAAGGGAATTACACAACAGAACCAAGGTTCCTACAGCAAAGAAATCTAAAACCCGGAGCTCCGTGAAGCCCAGAAGCCAGCACGCCACCAGAAGTCCCTGTCCTGGAGGCCTGAGCTGCTTTGTCAGGGGAGCAAATGGGCTCACCTCCCTTTCCTGTCATCTAAGCAGCGTTTATTCAGTGGCTAGCAAATCAAGGATTAAATAAACACTATCCTTTCAGACCACCAGCTGTCGGCTCCTGCCTTGCCTGGTTCTCAGGCTAATCCGATTGTTTTGGTTTGGTTGTTGGGGGTTGGCAGAAAGAGCAGCTAACATTAAGATTTTAACTATACAGTGTCTGCTGCCATCTTGTGGCAATTCGGAGCCAATGCCTGCTGTCGAGCAGACAATGCACCCCTGCAATAATGTAGTCCTAGAATAGCCAAGTTTAAAATTATAAAAAATAAATTCTTAATCTGTCATATAAAGTTCACATATAGCAATAGCAGTCTAAATCAAAAGCACACAAATGCTTCCTCTTGGTACTCAGTAACTCAGTAGCACTGGTCCATTACTGACATCTCTAAACTTTGACCTCCTCTCCTGTGACACGTGAACACTGATGGCACTATCTGTCTAGCGCTTGTGCAAGAACTCCAAGAGATAATGCATGCACTTCTTGCAATGGGGTGCCTGGTCCTTTGTAGGGATCCCCAGACTCATGCTCTGGTGATGAAGATGATGGGGCTACGCACAAATCAGTTGTGTCCACTCCAGGTCCACATTTGACCAATCAGTACAGGATTAGTCTTCTATACCCAGCCCAATGTGCCAGGGGTTCTGATTTGCTCAGAGTTGGAGCTGGAGCAGGTGCTCACATGGTAGTCACTGTAAGCCCCACTTTTTAAATTATTTTAATTTTATTTTGTTATTTCACGTGTATGTGTACTTGCCTACATGCATGTCTGTGCACCGCTCACATGCCTGTGCCCCACGGAGACCAGAAGAGGGCCCTGGAGTGTTAAAACCATCGTGAGCTGTCATGTTAGCTCTGGGCATTGAACCTGGGTCCTCTGGAACAGGAGCCTAAATACACTGACCCATCTTCCCAGCCCCTGAACCCCGCTTTTTACAGTAAGTCGCCTTTCTCCATAAAATTATTTGCTGTGGATAGAGCATAGGGTAGAAAGTGAGAAAACCAATCGACCCGGCCCTGGATCCATTCAGGACAATCTGGGTAGAAGGATCACATGGCTGAGGACAGTGTTGCAAAGAGTAATACGTGCTGACCCCAGGTCTCTTCGCTTGTAGGTCTTAGCATGTGTCTGGATTTTTTTTTTAAAGCACTTCATGTAGCCTTAGTGAAAGCCACTGTGGTAAATTCCCACAGAAAAGCCGAGGGCTCATCAACAGGCCTGATCTTTCAAGGGTTTCCCTGCAAGCCCAGCTACTCTGGTGAGATGGGAATGGCCAAGCCACTCGAAGGACAATGCTCCACGACATGAGCACATAGGTACACAGAATATATGCATGTATGTAGCACCACTGTATGGACAGGTGTGATCTATGCAGTGGTGTGTGGACGCATATATCAGCAAGAAGTGTTTGAGCATATATTACTATTGGCTATGTGTTACTAAATCCCGTTAAAATATACCAAAACTTTTCCTTGAATGGCCTACAACGCCTTGGCAGCGAAACAACTGGCTTTTAACGTTGACCACACTATGGCACTGGGGCAAATTTAGGAACAAGTCCCAAACACGGTGCTTTAGCAGACACATCTCATTTGGCAACAATGCTTTGCTTTGTGTTCTAGCCTGCTCTGTGTTAACAATTCCTAATTGTTGAGGAGACTGAAGAGAGTCAGGTCAGTGGCCTACTCATTTAAATACACATTCCAGACAGTGCGACCCCACGGGCCCTGAGAGCCGCATCCAGTCCTGTGAACTGTGCTGTTTAAATGGGTGCGTTTCTGCAGACACAGGAGCAGAATGGTTGTTAGCAGAGCAGGAAGGGGCAGGAAGCGGGGAGAGATGGGTCAAGGCACAGAGTTATCGTTAGGCGGGATGGATAATTTTAGAAGCTGCGGTCCACAGACGACCACTGGGAGTGCGCGGTACGTTAGAAATGCGATGTCGAGGTAGATTTTTAATCACAATAGCTGTGTGAGGAGATGGATTTGCAGCTCCCCTAACTGTGACGTAACAAAACAGGGTGGCTAGACCTTAACCAGTTATAACAGAGAAGTGAGTGGGGAGACGTTATGACGTGTAAGCTGTGCCCCAATAAAAAGCTGTTCACGGTTTTTAAAGCTGATCCGAAACGGGCAGTTCGTGATCTCCATACAGCAATGGATGTAGCTCGGCTCCTGTGGACACGTCGCTGAATGAGTCCCGAGGACCACACAGACGCTCTGCGTGCTGCCCTCACCCACTCTCTCTCTCTCCCCCGTTCCTCCCACAGGAGGACTACAACCAGCTGCGGCCTCTCTCCTACCCCAACACCGACGTGTTCCTCATCTGCTTCTCCGTTGTAAACCCTGCCTCCTATCACAACGTTCAGGAGGAGTGGGTTCCGGAGCTGAAGGACTGCATGCCCCACGTGCCTTACGTCCTCATTGGGACCCAGGTTAAAATGAGGGTGATGGAGGGGAGGGCATGGGCCGGGCGGGCGGTGACCCCAGGATTCTGCCAAGCGCCGTGACGGAAACTCAGCTCTAGCTCACCCGTGAGCAGAGGTTCCGGAGGCGCACGGTTGTTTAGTTGAAAACTAGTTATAGAGCTATTCAATCTGACGCAGAAAGTTTTGGTGTGGCCGTTAAAATTAACCTCGCAGCTTGTTTTTCAAATAACAAAATAATTATTTTTGCAGATACTCTTCCTGCCTTGAAGTAATGAAACAAGCGTACACAGTAAAGAGAGAGAGAGTTAGACACAACTGTTTTAATACAGCAAAAGAGGTGTGTTGGTCCAAATGACCCTAGATTCAGACGGGGCATATCATAACAGGCCTCCTTGACTGCCCTGCTGGAAGAGGAAGATTAATTCTCTGCTCTTCATTTCCCCTAACTCCTTGGTCACACAGATCTTAGGAAAGTTAAAAAAACACATATTAAGAGCAGCATGTATCAACTGTTAAGGCTTCCAAAGTGTTTGGAAGCTGATAAAATCCCACAGCGTGAGTTGCCTCTTATGGTCAGTAAGCTTCTTGTTGCTTGGGCGTTGTCTGAACTGTCTGTAGTTTAAATGGATTTGGCTGTTTTAAATCTGCGTTGGTGTCCAAGGTCAGGCCCATACCATGGCTGCAGGGCGTTTAGTCTGCTGCCTACGCTACTTCTCTTGAGTTCTCATTTTGAATATTATTTGACAAAGAAATAAGGAAAAAAAAATACTTTCTAAAAACAGTCAGAGCAGATGTGTGTTCACTTAAATATAAATTAGAACTTATGTATCTGCCGAGCGATTGTACTGCTGAGTTCAAGTCACATTTCTGCTCTGAAAGATAACTGTTTGCTTGTTTGTTTAAATGAAGTTTTTTTTTTTACTTTCAATCCTGAATATTAATGTTTTTCCATAACAAGAAGCATAGATCCTGCTGCCAAAATACATAACTGGACATTCAGATCCCTCGGTGAGTTGGGACTGTTTAGGGCAGCCATTGAGTTCAATGATGAAGAAAAATGGAAAAACAAACAGAAACATAAAACCATGAATTTGCATAAGCATCATTCTAATCGACCGGATCCTAGCATGACCATAATGACTGCCTGTAGGAAGCAAACCCTGTGTGCCCGCATACACGGGGACACGAGAGCAACCACAGCATTAGCCAAGTGATCAGTCTGTTACCTGCTGCCTTCAAAGCTGCTCCCCCTGGAGAGAGATTCTCCTGCTTCATTAGGCGAGCCCTTTGGCCTCTCCTCCTTGGCACTCCCCTGCAAGACCTCCCTGTCTATTTATTATCTGTTGAAAAGGTTTGACAGGTAGCAAATCTCCACCCCTTTGAAGGTCAAGATAAGAAAGACAGAAAGAAAGAAAGAAAGAAAGAAAGAAAGAAAGAAAGAAAGAAAGAAAGAAAGAAAGAAAGAGAGAGAGAGGAAGGAAGGAAGGAAGGAAGGAAGGAAGGAAGGAAGGAAGGAAGGAAGGAAGGAAGGAAGGGAGGGATCAAGGGATCCAAAGCCACAAAAAAATATTATGTAATGAGTGTTATAAGTTACAATCGAATGAGTAATCACTACAAGATACCCAGGCCTATCTGTGCCATCTAGAAAGAGAAAACTCAAAACCCCAGACAGACAGTGCAGGATCATCGGAAGATGGTCTCAGCAGAATAAGAATGGATAAGGCCACCCTGCTGCATCTATGTTTTAAAAAGAAGAAGAAGAAGAAATGTTCAGCACACACCTTTAATCCCAGCCCTTGCAAAGCAAAAGCAGTCAGATCTCTTATGAGTTGGAGGCCAGCCTGGTCTACAAAGCAAGGCTTAGGACACAGGGCTACACAGAGAAACTCTGTCTCAAACAACCAAAAGAGAGAGGGAGGGGAGAGAAAAATCACTCTCTCAAACATAGCATAGGCATGTATAATATTTTTCTTGGAGGACATTCAGCAACATCAAAGGTTAAGGTGGGGAAGGGTGCTATATTGTGTTTTAAAGTAACGGATAAGGCCTGAAAACAGTGACCATGTCTTTGTCCCAGATTGACCTCCGCGATGACCCTAAGACCTTGGCACGCCTGCTGTACATGAAGGAGAAGCCCCTCACCTACGAGCACGGCGTGAAGCTGGCGAAAGCGGTATGCTCACATTTGAGTGCTTGGGGATGGGAGAACAACACAGGATTTTGCCTTAAACTGCATTGTGCTTTAACTCGTTATACTATGATTCTTCCTTGTTCTAGAAGGGCTGGAAGGGACCGTTTTGGCCAGTGTCCCAGTCACCAGGCGCCTTCTGTTTTCCATTAAGAAATTTCATGAGGTTCAACAGCTAAGCACTTACCATTTTGCCTCAGCAGTGTCTAGAACATAGATTTGCCCCATTTCGTATGAATTAAGGGGCGTCATTAGCTACACATCCGTAAGTCTCCCTGTTTATTATCACTGTAACTCATTACACGAGGTGTTCTGTGATTTGTCCAGGGAGAGACTTGGATCGAAATCTGACAGGGTTCTCTTTGTCTAGTACTTCTCTTCCTATAATGAACAGTTACTTAATAGTTGTGACAGTGTCGAGGATAGCATATGGAAAAACAACCCACAACTAAAAGTGACAGGGTGAGGAATCTAAGTGGCTGTCTGATGGAGCAGGCCTGGAATTACCTCTGCTGACCGTTCTTCACTTCAGAGGGTTTGCCATCACCAGTGACCTAGCTGCAGAAATCCTTCAAAATGTATTTGCCAGACACCAAATCTTTGCCTCCCCATCACCGCCACAACATGGGCAAAGGAGCCATTAACACGGATGCACACACGTATGACTCTGCAGAAGGAGACTTAGGGGCCACATTTGCCTAATTTGAATCTTTTCCTCCTTGATTTAGGCACCAATCTATTAACCCAAGCAGGAGATTTTAAATTCTTGATGTTTTACTTACTAAGGGTTAGTTACACGCCCCTAGGCAGTTATCACCTTTCAAAGCCAGTCAAGAATAACCTTAACTACAAATTACTCCTTAGCAAAAATAAGTCAATAAACGAATGGCGTTTCTCTTATTAAAACCTGTCTAAAGTACCAAACATAATACGACATCTTCGTTGGAACTGGATTAGTTATGGTATTTTAAGGGTACAATGCATGGGACATCACACAGACATTTGAGCCCTTCCAATCTCTGCCCCAGTTGTGTCAATATAACCAACACAAGCCATCCAGGGATGGTGGGATGCTAAGCCTCTTAGGGGTGAGGAAATAGCCTTGGGGATCAGGACCACGCTGGAATCCAGCTGTGTGCACACCAACACCTGGACACCTGACTGTCATACCCATCGTCGCTTCTCCAGCCGTGTGTGTGTGTGTGTGTGTGTGTGTGTGTGTGTGTGTGTGTGTCCCCTAGGAATCTGCGAGTTCTTCTCCAACATTCACCCTAATATACATGTTCATATATGTAATTGTATGTGGCTCCTAGCAGGAGGTCCTACTGTTTCTGCAGTAGCTCCCGCTCCATGTTCCTTGCCTCTGGGACTGTCCTCACCTTCGTTCTTGTGGCTTCCTAGCCTCACTCCTCGTTTGAAAAGTTGGCTTTGGGTTGGGGTTTTTTTGTTCCTCCGCCTCTGATAACGAGTCTCTCCAAAGCCTCCCATGTCGTTTCAGATTTATTTCAAGAGCAGCGGCTCCGTTCCCCACTTGCTTGGCTTTTGCCAGCCTCTCCTAGCAACTGCTCTCTGCTTTACAATCGCGTCAAGCATATGAAACCCAAACGCAAAGAAAACCAAGCAGTATTTTGAACTGGGTTTTGTGCCAATTCGTATAATTACAGGGATGTTTTTTAGTTTCTCCAGTCTTTGACTCCTCTGTCGAGTGCTTTATTATTATAATAGCTAGTATTGACGCAGTGTTGCTGGTGGGCCAGGCCTCCTCTTAGTTCCTCCTCGAAGCATCTCCTGTGGTGTGTCTATTACTGTCAGCGCTTTCCTACAGGAAACTAGGCTGAGAGAGGCTAGTGGCAGAGACGCCGTTCTCCACCCACGGTGCTCTTTGCCTCCCTCCTGGACTCTGTAAACAAATTCTTCAGTTTGGGGCTCCTTTTGCTGCCAGGGACAGCAGAGCAGAGTAGTTCAGCCTCTGGTTTGAGAGATGGACACATCCTCATCCCTGCCAGTTCCAGCCAACCCGCTGGTCTGTAAATGAGTTGGCAAGGGTCTTTCCTTCTTGGGCCCCTGTAGCTCTGCAATGAGTTACACACCATAAGCTCGGGTTCAGCAAACTACCCCTGTCGCCCTCCCTGCCCTCAGACTTGTCTGCAGCTGGGGAGAACTTTGCCCCTCTTCCTTCTAGCTACTGGCTTTTGCTTTTGTTTTCAGAAGGCTCTCATGTAGCCCAGGCTGGCCTTGAACTCAATATATACCTGAGGATATATAACCTTGATCCTTTTGCATCTACCACTTGCTGCTATCAACCACATCTGGATTTATACAAAGCTGGGAAACAAAAATCCGGACTTTGTGCATCCTAGGCAAGAACGCTATCAGCTGGGCTCCATTCCCCAACCTTCTAATTATCTCTATGCCTCTTCGGCATGTCCCACCCCAAGAAGAGGAAGGAAAAAGTTTTAGCTTGCCATTTCACTTGATTTGTCCTGTTGCAAGTTGGTTTGTTTTCCTTCCTTCCCATCAGATCTTCTGTGTTTTGGACCGTTGTGGCAATGTTTCCCAGCACTGGAAACAATGCACCTTAAGTATTGTAAAAAAGTATCAGAAAGGTGTTCTGTTTGCAGCCTCAATCTCTTCCTTTGTTTTGTTTTAATTCCTTGAAATGTGGCAGTCTGGTCAAGCCTGCTTCAGATTGCTCACTCACATGTGTGTCCCAGCGAGGAGTCTCTGAGCTTTTGCAGATGGAGCCTAAATACTTGGCTGTGTAGGTCATTTCGCTCCAAGAACCAGGAAAGGGCTCCTCTGTAAACAAGAAGGGCTGTGTTTCCTTGACACGATTTTCCATTTCAATCTCTGATGACTCTCACGAATTTTTTTTGAGCATTCTTTCTAACATGTCTGTGGCCTTTCTTTGAACCGGGACAAACTCTCTTCTCTGACCCTCTGAGCACGTAGAGCATGGCAACAAACAGTCGCCTCACAACTGGGCTCTGCTTCTCACACGTACGTCCCAACTCACACCCAAAATCTGTTGGCTACTTTCCCTGGAACTATCAGCACGTCACAATGTTACCTTAACCTCCTCACACAAGGACGCCTTTATGGACTGTCTCACTCTCTCCCCCCACATCAGAATTGGAAGAGACAAGTTTGGGCTCCTCCTGCCTCCTCAGGAGGCACAAGCTGACAGGCTAAAGCACTGTCCGTTGGCAGTGCGGTGGAGAGAAAGAGAGCAAGCTCCACTGGCCTCTCAGGGTCCCAGGATGAATAAACAGAAGTCAGCCAAACTCCCGGAATTTTCAGAATCAGTCTGTGGCTTTGGAATCATCAGTGGGAGGGTTGTCCAAACACAACAGCCTACAGCGCTTTCTAGGGTTTTTTCCCCTCTCTGCATTACTGACGAGAACCCTCACATCACAAGCAAACGGCCGTTCTGTTAGTCATTTACTTGCTGTGCCTTTTATATGTGTGCCTACCACGCGTGGATACAAACCCCTGAAGGGGACATTTCATGTCATTGTTAGGGGAGATTTTTTCTACCCCCTTCTTTTCCTCTCTCTCTCTCTCTCTCTCTCTCTTATATTGTTTTTAATTTTTTTTTGAAGTTGCTTCCAAATCTAAAGGCCAAACCATTGTCAAAACAAAATCCACAAAGGAAGCTTTCAACATGCACTGATGTTTTCAATTCCCTGCTTTCTGTATGTCCCATTGGCTTATAAAATAGTCATTCTTGTCAGAAAAGAATACTTTTTTTTTTTTTAAAATCACATGCTGTCTGGAGAGTGAACTTTGAAATAAATTTTCTTTCCTGCTGAGTCTTCCTATCAGTGACCTTTCAAACAGCCCTGTTCCAGCGGCTGTTAGCCCGGCCAACTTGTTGCTGGGTTCAGTAAAAAGGGACACAGAAGTTCATAAAATAAGAAAAACAGCACACCTAGCACACCTAGAGGACTATGGAGATGGCTTGTCATGTCGGAGCACTGGCTCTGCAAACCTAAGGATCTGAGTTCAAATCCCCAGCACCCACAGAGGAGCCAGCATGAACATTGTGACCCTAGCATTGGGGCAGAGACAGGCAGATCCCAGGACTTCGATGGCCAATGACTCTAATCAAAGCAGCAAGCTCCAGGTTCAATGGAAGATCTGCTTTTTTTCAAAGTTTCCTAATAGGAAAAAAAAAAAAAAAGTGTTTTTTGTAACTGTCCTTAATATTCAGTTCAGAGGCCCTCAGCACATAGTTGGCTCATGTGAACCTGTAAAACAAGAACACTCAAGTCTCCTCCTGCACCAAAGCCCACAGCCAAGCGCAGCCTTCCTGGCCAGTGACTTTTCTTAATAAGACTCAACAGTTTCTGGCGTGGATTACTACATTTCTTGTGGGGATCTTACAATTCTCAAATCACCCATTATATGAATTTTTTTTTCATCTTCAAGGAGCTAGAGAGATAGTTGAGCAGTTAAAAACACTGGCTGCCCTTCCAAAGAACCTGGGTTCGATTCCCAGCGCTCCTGTAACATACAGTTGAAACTCTATAGTCCCAAAGGATCTGATGCCCTCTGCTGGCCTCTGTTGACACTGCACATGTGTGCAGGTATACAATGTATGGCAAAACACCCATACACATATAACAATAATAATAAGGATAGTGGTAATAACTAATAATACAATAACAATTTTAAACAATAATTTAATTGTTTAAACAATAATTAATTGTTTTAATAACTCAAAATAGACCACTAACCCAGTACAAAAGATATATTACTTAAAGATTAAAAAAATGTACAGTGAAGGAAGGTATCTGCGTCAATGAATATCTTCTATGTTTTTATTTCTTCATGTTTTAGGGTTTTAACTTCACACGTGTTTTTCAAAGTATATTGATACTGAACAATGATAGCAAATAGGTATTATGCTGCCAAGAGACACATAGCAATCAAGGATAATCTATGATGGCGGCTACCCATGCTTCTTAGCGGCTCTGCAGGGCCAATGACACGGCTTTATTCCACATACCTGAATGTCACTGCCATATTCCATATAGAAATGACAGAACACTGGAAACAGGCTGTTTGTGGGACAAGCAGACGTAGGGACCTGGCCAGGCTGAGGGTTGGCACTCACGACTTTGCTTCTTTGTGTTTAAGATCGGGGCACAGTGCTACTTGGAATGTTCGGCGCTGACTCAGAAGGGTCTCAAAGCAGTTTTCGATGAGGCTATCCTCACTATTTTCCACCCCAAGAAAAAAAAGAAAGGCTGCCACGGCTGCTGTGCCATCATCTGACGTCACCGGAGACCCAGCTCCCCGCCATGCCAAGGCCCGTCCCGGTACCCTTCCCGGCCTCACGGCTCAGCTGCCTGTCCACGCTGCCACATCACTCTCAGGCCGGCCAGACCATCCACACTGCGAGGGGAATGCGCAGACAGTTCGCTGGCGAGGTGCGGAGGGCCAAGCCACCATCCGCCCTGTTCTGCATTCACCTCTCCCCACCCCCTACCTTTTTGAACCAACAGGAAGTCATGGCGGGGAAAACCAAGCACTGCATCCTGCTCCTGTGGCCTTAGTTCTTGTCTTCACCAAACTCGGGAACACAACGCCAGCATTTTTCTTTTTTCCGAGTCTGTTGTTTTACCCAAGTGTCTTAACGCTCGTTTCTGTTGCACTTTCCTGATGTCCAGTCAGTTGAGCCTCACAAATCTGTATCGAAGTCGTTGAAGGACGAGCTGGATTACACTCATGCCTACTGACAATGGATCTCTACCAACGTTCTTAGAGCCGTCATGTACCTCTGAACGCCTAATTACAACTTTTATAAACTCACAGACCTATACTTTTTTTAAAAAAAAAAACCTCTTTTTTAAAAAGAAAACACCCTGTGAATTTTTACAGCGCCCCCAGTTTGGCCAAAGATTTCTCTCACAAACGCTTCAGGTGATAGGGGGGACAGTTCTTGCAACATTCTGCTGCCTTTCAAACTAAAAAGTGAACCGTCTTTGAAGAAACAGCTTTCTGCTTTTCACCTGAACTGATCAGGACAACAATATTGCAAAAGCCATCTTCCGGTTCCAGGGGAGCGGGGGGGGGGGGGGGGGGGGGGGGGGGGGGGTGGAGCTGCCCCACCCTGCTCACAAATGTCTTTGCCCTCCTTCTGTTCACGCTTTCTCCTGTGCCCACATCCCTGTATTCCCCAGTCACGGCCTGACCAAAAAGAAAAGAGTGGGGGAGTAGAGGAGGCCCTGGACATCAGACATAAAAAAAATAAGGTCCCCAGGATCCTTGGGGGTCAAAGTGCCTCAACTTCTCCACTTGCTTCAGCTGAGAGTGCTGCTCAGCTTGCCTCCTTTGAGAATGGTTTCTAGCTGCCGCCAGTATGAAACCATTGCCTCTCTCCCTGTTTCCTTAACGCCTCCTCCCAAATGTCCACAGAGGGTGGGTCTAAGTGTTACCATTCCAGGTTAAGGCATTGCACCTAACCGGGAGTTTGGCCCTGAGCAGAAAAGCTCCCGGTGACATGACAATTCCAAACAGCCAGGGACTCTTCAGTGTTTTAATTAGAGGCTGTGATTGGCCCTGATTAGCCTTATTTGCTTATAAATGCCCTGGAATTACCCAAGGAAGCTGATTTCTCTCTCTCTCTCTCTCTCTCTCTCTCTCTCTCTCTCTTTATTGGATCTGTAAATCATATCTTAGCAATAAGAAATTATTTTACTTTTTTCTAGATTGAAGCTCCCTCTGTTGGGGGAAAAAATCCACTATTTCTAGTCTGTTTCTGCTCTTAGAGGAACTGCAGAAGAAAATTGTATGGTATGGGTCTTCTTAAGATCTACGACACCCCTTCAGTCTTTGGGGGGTTTGTTTGTTTGTCTGTTGTTTAGAATTTCTGAAATATATTCTTGTTTCATCTACGTGTCAATAATGTTTCCCTTCTCTCCCATATAATGGCTAAGAATTTTCCGAAGCACATATACACATCATAAGCGCACCACCTGAAAGGAAACATGAGTTCTGTAAGCCAAAGCTGGGCATTTAGAGAAAAAAGGGCTCTCTGCCTTCATACATGGAACTCAAATACGCATGAGTCACAATGCGATGGCGGCTCCCATTCATTCTTCACACATAGCAAAGAGTATAAGATCCTGTAAAAATGTTAGGGCTGTGAGACAGTTTCCCTGCAGTGTGGCATAGGTACATCCTGCTAGGCGCTACTCCTCACTTCTTATTGTTGTGGAGAAAAAGACAAAAACATCATGTTGGCTCCACCAAGGACAATTTCCCAAATGTCAAGAGGCAAAGCGCTCCCCAAGCCATCATCTCCGTAATGCACCAGTGAGATTTCCATAGCAGGACCTAATTTGTTTCACAAAATTGCCTTCTGCCCCAAGACTGAATAACAACCGTTCTGAGAATTAAAAATGAAGAGTCATAGATGTCAAAAGAAGGAGCTGCTAACAGTCCACACCCTCTTCCAAACTCGGCAAACGGCAGCTGATGATCCATGTGAGAACAGAAAAAGCCTCAGAGCCTGTAGCACAAGCTCTCAGTGTGCGCGGGAGAAACTCGCCAGGATCAGCTGAGAGAGGTGTGCTGTGCAGAACTGAGGCAAATCTTGACGTCTGCTTCCTGCCCAGCACCCAGCACACAGCACCCAGCCCCCAGCCCCCAGCAGCCCCGCATTGTAAACAACCCGGCATCACCCATGTCAAGTTAGAGTTCTGCGGGCAGATTGGTAACCTTACTTCTGTTTCTCTTACAGCTTTCCGCCATCGTTTAAATGCAAAGTTTCATAGAGTTAAAGCTCCTATGACCAAAGCAGTAATGCCCCACCCTGGTAATGAACTGGTGACGAGAAACTGACCTTCCCACCAACATGCCTGCCATCAGAGCAAACCACCATGCAAAAATCAAGCAGCTAGCTTGACAGATTTTTTTTTATTTTAATGGTTGACTGTACAATAGAGCTGACAGACAGCTTGAGCTGATAGATGCATCAAAACCATGTCCACAGTGAGAAAGCTGGACTGATCTCTGCCAAGAAACGCTAGGTTTTAAGAAGAGCTATAGACGGCAGGGACATGGCGTGGGCAGCAGGGCCAACCCCTGCGGCAACGCTGGGAATTCTGAATGAGGGTCTGTGGGTGCTCACAGCGTGGTGAGGTGGGAAATGTCCATCTCCTCTGTCTCTGTGCAGCAGAGAGTCAAGAGAAGCTTACCAAGAAGCAAGAGTGAATAAATGACCTTGAAGGTCTCAGGAGCTAAGCTTGACAGGGCTAACTCTGGAATATTTGCACTTGGGCACAAAGGAGATCTCGGTTCATGTTCACAAAGGTATCCCCACGTACAAAGATTATATTTAATATGCACGGGTGCTACAAGTGCAGAAATGTAGGATGAAGCAGTACAATTCATGGTGCTTCTGTGGTCAGTAATAAACGGAAAAGGTATTAGAACACCAAGCTCAGCCAGCAGGGTCTTGGACTGGCTCCTTGGGGATCAGGTGGGTAGGTGGGGAGTGAGCCAGGATCTGGCTCATGTTTGAAAGGTTGGGATGTAAGATCAACAGCAGCCCTTGACCATGACATCCCATTCCAAGCATTAAAGCTTTCCAATGCATCCTGATTACTATTACTATCTACGTTTTACTCCTACAGAGCTACGACGCTCAAGACAAGGGCTGCTCTGGTGCATGTATGTTAGAAGCATGTTCTGCTCCATTGTGTAAGTCCAGTGGTGGCCCAGAACCATCAGAACACTAAAACCAGAGCAGTGTGTGGTATTTAGCAATGAACCCCAAGATTTCGACATATGGGGTATCTTTGCAGAGCAGGACCAATTAGTGGCACAGAGAATGGGGTATCTGCTGCACTGTGAAGAAAGGGAACCTTCACTAGCAGATTCGGCCCCTCAGTGGCCTCCACAAGTCAGCGTTTTGAGTTTGTTATAGCTTTGGAGGCAACAGGTCTTGGGCAGTTAATAGCTAGGCATCTAAAATCACCTCTCCCCCCGTCACCTTTGATACACTTGTTATGCAACCAGATTCTCTTCTCCTCAAGGAGCCGGAGGCAAGGATGTCAATGAATTCTGTACGCTCATCACTTGGTAGAATTGCCTTTGCAAGCAGCAAGCACACAGAGGGACACTACCCAACTGCAACAGAGCTGCTCCTCCCTGGTAAAGCACGTAGCGTCAAGGGACTTCCAGCCAACTCATGTACAGGCGGGTGCTCCCGCAGTCTCTCATGTAACGGCCATTCTCTGTACCTGTTTCATGATTAATGGACTATGGCTTCATGGACGCTGTTTATCTGTATCGCATTTTTACTGTCATGTCATTACACGGTCGTTTTCTTTTCCCGCTCTCATCTGTGGGGTCATCAGGGACTTCCACCAGCCACTCGTGAGAACTGCCTTCCTTCCTTCCGAAACTGTCTTTCTACGGCAGCAGGTTGTCCAGCTCCTTACCGCTCAGAGAGCAAGCCAGGGATTGACAGCAGCGGCCCTGCCTGGCAGCTGGTCAGGACTGCGGCATCTTGGGGCCGGGTCGAGATGCATTTTAACAAGACCCCAAGTGATTTGGACGCACATTTAAAGTGAGGACGAATTAGTCTGTGAGGCAGCCAGATTCGTTATCAGCCTCACATCCAAACATAGAGCTGAATGATGAAGCCATCAGTGTAGATGGCTTCTCAGATGTTGCGGTGAAGGTGCTCCTTAGGTCAATATTTAAATCATTCCTTTACCGGTTGGCTAAAGAGCCCTTGGTATCTTTTCTTCTCATCACATGCCACCCAGCTGCAGTAAAAGAACATCGTATTTTGGAATCAAGCAGAAAAATAGCATCTGGTCTGAAAGATCCGCTAAATCTGAAATATTCTATACTGACAGTCATTCCGGTATTTATAAGTGTCCTACTTTGCTTCTTCGTTGCTTTGATCAAGCACTGACCAGAAGCAGTTTGCGGGGGGGGGGGGGGGGGAGAAAGGACTTACGTGACTTACAGGTTCCAGGCTGTCATCACGGGAGCCAGAACAGAAGCTCAAGCAGAAACCTGAAGCCAGGAACTGAAGCAGGGACTGTGGAGGGGTGCTGCCTACTGGCCTGCTCCCCATAGCTTGCTCGGCCTGCTTTCTTCTACACCCCAGGACCACCAGCCCAGGAGTGGCCCCGCCCACAGTAAGCTAATCCCTCCCACATCAATCATCAATCAAAAAGCTGCCCCACATAGATTACAGGCCAATCTGCTAGACTGGGTGTGTCTCCCAGCATTGGGATTGCAGGTGCACAAGGAACCTTGGCCTTTTAATGGGTGCCAGAGATCTGAACATGGCTCCTTGAGCTTGCACAGCAGGCATTTTACCAACTAAGCCATATCCCCGGCCCCTTGCCTGGTGAGTTCTAGTCTGTCTCTGGGACAGTGAAATAAGGTCCCTGTGCAGGCTTTCTGCAAGCCTGTCTTCATTTTCATAGAAATGGTTCTGTGGAGATAGTCAAATGCTGAAGAAGAGAACCCCCTGGTCTAAGACTGTTTGCTTCTCCCCTCATTCAAAGCTCACACCTTCAAAACGCACTGGGCACATCCGTGGAACATTAGTTGTTTGGCTTGCTCCAGAGCTGGCGCTTCTCTTGGAATGCTGAGGTTTGCAGGCAGCCTCTATTGGGCCTTGTCTCTCTCATTTGGAGCTGCTCATGTGTCCACGGGGAGAGGCTTCGTGCTGGTTTCTTGAGCTGACTCAAGCAGGTCCTAAAAGCTGAGGAAAAAAAAAAAAAAACTTCGTAAAACATCTCCAATGTGTTTTTAACAGCAGATCTTTCAAGTCCCCTGTCCCCAAGCCACCACCACAAGTTTTACTTGTGATAAGCATATTCCAAAAGGAAATGGAAGCTGCAGGTTCAGGACGGCCTGGGAGCTTGAGTCGCCTGACTTTGATGGCTCACCTCTCAGCCCGGCAGACAGCAGAAGTCAAAGAGCACGCACGTCAGGTGGAAAGAGCATGCCTATGAACAGGGTTCAACCCTACTTCAGGCGCTTGGTTTTCCTAAAGAGGATCGCCATGGGGCGCGCCAGCATGCTTTATTCAGTATG